TTTTTAAAAAAAAAAAAAAAAAACGATGTATTTTTACATCAATGAGCACTGCAGGGCTATTCCCCACAGCCAAGAAGTAGACAAAAATAAATAAAAGTCCATTCAGAGGTGCGGCGATAAAGAAAATGAATTACTATTCATTCATCAAAAGGAATGGAGTTGTCATAAATGGGACAACATTGATGAGCTCTGGAAATAGTGTGCTGAGTGACAGAAGTCACACAAGAGGACAAAGACACTATGAACCCACTTCAACAAAATCCCTTGAAAAGGCAAACACACAGACAGCAAACGTTTCTTGGGGGCAGATGGGGGGGGCATCAATGCTGACGGTGTACCAAGTGTCTGCTGAGGGTGATGGGAAAGGTGGGCACTGCCAGTGCTGATGGTTGCATGGTGCAGAGAAAGGTCTTAACTTTACTGAATTGTTTTTATTGTTGTTAGGGGCCACTGAGTCTGCTCCAACTCCTAGCAACCCTGGTGCAGCACAACAAAACACTGCCCAGTTGTGTGTCACCCTCACAGTCCTTGGTATGCTTGAGCCCATCCTTGCAGCCGAACCCCAAGGAAGAAAATCCCACTGTAGGATACAGTGAGCAATGAATGGGAGTTTTAAGGTAATCCAATTTGGGTCACTGAGTTATTTATATGAAGAAAAAAAAAATCCAGGACTGCCTCATAACAGCTATAAAAACTCCCACGAATTCTAAGAAGTGTGGGGAAAAAAAAAAGTGTGACCCCCTTGTTCCCCGTGCACACTGTCACTCAGACCCTTTAAAGCTGCTCCGCAAGGTTTGCAATGCTGCAACCTTTGGGAAGCAGATTGCCAGGCCTGTCTTCCAAAGCCCATCTGGCTGGGTTCAAACCACAAACTAATCAGCTCATAATCTTCACCTTCACACCACCCAGGGACTCTAGAGGTAAGCCTTTTACTCTGTAAAGCAATTATCACACACACAGACACACACACACACACCCTATACCCCACCAGCACATGCTCTGGGCCCACAGAATCTGGCACTTAGCTAAATAAAACGAACTTTCTGAGTCTTCACTTGAATCTTTTTTGTAGTTTCAGCACACAGGCCTTCCACTTTGCCCTCACTCCTAATGTTCGCTGTTCCAACAATGCCAATATGCATGGTTTGTGCTCCAGAAAGCCTTCCACCTTTCACCAGGTGTGGCTCCTTGGTAGCAGACACTGGTCCAAACTGCAGCATCCAACCCAGCAGACACACACACTGGGCGTGGGAGCTCTGTAACAGGGGATGAGACCCTCAACTCAAACAGGTTCAACAGAGACATGTTTATTAAGCCTTAAACCTAAAAACCAAAATCACTGCCATCAAGTAGATTCTGACTCATAACGACCCCCATTGGGTTTCCGAGGTGATGAATCTTTATGGAAGTAGCTGGCCCCATATTCCTTCCTTAGAGTGGCTGGTGGATTTGAACCACCAGCCTTCTGGTTAGCAGTCAAATTAAGTCAAATATTCAGCCTCAGACAGGACAAAGACAGTCATCCAGGATGAGGGAAACCATCAGCATCTACACAGTACACAAAGCTGAAGGGAATCTGGCAAGTCAGGGCCTGGGGCTCATTATATATCATTGACAACAAAATGAATGATCACAAAATCAGGACTGGTGGCAGATCAAATCAACACTGAGGCGGGACTACGTAACTGGAAGAGGACCTTGGTTCTGTCCCTACATAACTGAAGATGAAGGAAGGTTACAAGATTGGTCAGGGGGTTGACCAAGTGCACCCACAAGGGAAGGCACAGGTGGCCTTCAAACAGTATCAGACCCCCAACCTTAATTAAAATCAGAAAAGAACACATTCAGGCAAGTCCCCTAGGTCTAGTTGTGAGCATCAGCTACTTTGAACCACACTCTCCCTGAGGGCTAACCCTGCCTTTCCCCGCCCCAGGTTTGCCCTTACACTTGTCTCTGCATGGCCACAATGCTGGCTTAGGGTCAGAGAGGCACCAAATGGCCTCTGAATTTACTTAAAGTGAGGGCTCCCACCGCAGACCACAGCCTGCCACAACCCGAGCGCTTCGGAACAAAAGCCCTACTGCAGCTCCACAAAACCCTCTTCGCCCACAGCAAGACTGCCCAGCAACTCATATTTCCCCTCCAGCTGCCCCGGATTGGCCGTACACTTTCTCACGGAATCCTGACAAAAACGTCGCGTCACAGCCATGGTTACCCTCTAACGGTGCCCCCTGACTAAACTGAAAGTGGTATAAACATGATCCCTGATAGACAACCTCATTCCAACTCGGGTGTCTTAATTCTTCACCCTCCCTAAGTACTCCTAACCGTTAGAGGAGGAGGAAGTCCTCCCCGTCACGTCCGTTTGTGAATGAGCAGTGTATGGGGCCCAGCCCTGAAGGCCGCCAAGATTGGCCCCAGACTCCATCTTGTTTGCTCAGGAGAGAAATGTGCTAATTCCTTGCCCCATTCCCGCCTCCAGGCCAGCGGAGCCCTTCTGGAGAGCAGGTACAATTCACTAAGCTGCTCACGGCAGCATCTGATCAGAGTGAAACACTGGTGGCGGCCACAACACACTGGTCAAGGCCCATCGTGATGGCAAGCGCCACCTGGTCTGGGAACAGACACACAGCTCCCCAAACTTGAGCATAAATAGCCCTGGAAGGTGGGAGGGGACTGCGGTTACCTGACGAGGCCCAGCCTGGCGCCACCGGCCGCTCGCCATCTGCGGGCACTTGCAAGACGCCCTCCCTGCTGGCATCTGGTCAATCACTCTGCCAGCCTTTTCCCCGTCATCAACGTCTGACGCCTCTGAGCGCGCCTCCGGGGAAGGTTCCGGGTCTCCTCGCTCCTCAAGGGGGCGTCTCAGCCTCCCCTGCGAATTCCCTCAACGGCCAGCAACACTCAGCACAAGTCCTGCCCCAGGAGACACCGAAAGCAAAGGAGCCGTTTCGGCCGAAAATCGCGCTCAGGAACCGCCCCCCCCAACTGAGAACAGAGCGGACCCGGGCTCACAGCCCGCCCCTTACTAGGTCTCCGCCGTCCGCGGACGAGGACTGACTTCCTCCCGGACTCCGGGACCGCGACTCACCCGCAAATCGCGCGAACACCCCGCCCTCCCAGCGCCCTCTGCTGAGCGGGACACGCAGCCCGTTGAGTCCTGAGCGCGGGGCCCAGCGCAGGTGCCATCGCTCCGTAAACGGGAAACAGACCCCCAGGCCGGGGTGAGGGAGGGGCCCAGCGTGACCGCAGTGTGCGCGCGGGTGGGTCTGGCCGGGGCTGCGCCGGAAAAAGGAAAGAAAACGGGACCGGGGCGCGGACCGCACGGTGGGAGCGAGGCGGTCAGCCTCAGACTAACGGCCCCCGGAATCCACGCGGCCCGACTCGGCATTTCTCAGCAACTTCCGGTGAAGCGGACGCTGCGGGCTGAGAACCACAAGTTTCGTCCGCGAAGGGACACAAAACGTTACCTGATCCCACACCGGGAGACGCAGGTCAGTCGTCGCTGCTCCCCATGCAGAAAGCGGCTGTGGCGGCCGGGCTAGGATCACGCAGGGACGGCTGCGGGGAATACCTTTCACTTCCGGTGTCTGCGCCACGCGGTGCTCAGGGAAGGCGTTCCGTGCGGGAACAGGAGGTTCCAACTCCTGCCCGTGGGGTACCGTGGCTCCTCCTTGTGCTTGGATCTGGCCACCGCTGTCATTTCTTCTCTACAGAAAAGCGCACATTTTTTTCAATATGAAGATGAACTGAAAGGCGGATTTCCGTAATGGAGCATACGCCTGAGGAGCAGAGAAAATTGGTGTTTGCATAATTGGCCTTTAAAAAAAAAAAAAATTTATCATCTTCTTTACAAAAATAATTTCTTTGCTCCTCATAAATATTTCCTCATGTGAGAATACTTCAAGCCTCTAGCTGTGTTAGGGAGTTACCGAAGGGAAGTGGGCCCCTGCAAACTTCGTACAGTTGGAACCGCCAAGTGCAGACTTTAAGGCCTTAGAAGAAATGCAACCAAGCGGAAGAGGACAAAAACTTAAAATTATAAAAATGACTTTCCTTGGACATTTCCTCATGAGGCATGTGTAGTTGACCTTGAAGTAACCCAGGTTCTGGTTAGCAAGCAATTTTAATAAGCTGGCATTGTGGTTTTGACTCCCCTGGTGTGCAATCAAGGAGGAATATGAGGAAGTTAAATGCTTGAACCGGGAAGATTAAGTATATATCAGGTAAAAAAATAGAAAAAGGGATGGGACTGGTGGAATGAAATAAGGATGTTTACCAGCATGTCCTGCCCAAACCCAGCCCTTGATACTAAGAAAATAGGAGGTCTCCAGCTGAGAGGCTGGGACTTGCTGTTGCACTTTTTAAGAATAACCTTAATGCTGTTTGTTGTACATCTTTTATTCCTTGGTTAGACTTTTCAGACGGTTGTTATGTGGTCTACTTCCGTCACATTGACAACTTTTGGATTTGTGAATTAAATCCACCTTTTTCTTACTTTCCTCCTCGTAATAGTATGTTTTCTTTCTTCCTTCCTGTTTTCTTTGTGACATTAGATAGCCTGGTCACACAGGTCTCTCTTGTTAGAGCTCCATCGGCACTCAACAACCATGCCACACACCAGGATACCCAACAGGAGATTTTATTAAGGAGGTGAAAGGGTGCCTGCACTGAGGAAGGGCAGAAGAAGAAGAGGAGGAGGAAGAAGAAGAAGAAGAGGAGAAGAGGAAGAAGAGAAGAAGAAAGAGTTAGAAGGGAAGAAGAGAGGAAGAGAGAGGAAGAGGAGGAAGAGGAAGAGAGGAAGAGCAGGGGAGAGGGTGGTCTTATATAGACCTGGGGTTAGGAGGTTGTACATCAGAGCTGGGGGAAGAGGTCTTAAACTATCAGAGGCTATGTTGCCTTTTAAAATTCACGCCTTGCAGGAAGCTCAGTTTCGACTTCCTTTAACTGACTTATGACTTTGGGTGGGTCAGCAGGGAATGAAGAAGAACCCAGAAGAGCCACGCAAGATGGCGTGGCTTATCTCTAACATCTCTGAGGTGACATTTTATCTGAGACCTGAGGGAGAAAACCTGAAGAAAGGTGTTTTAGGCAAAAAGAACAGAAAACACAAAGGCAGTGAGCAGAAAAAAGCTTAGTCTAAATGAGGAACAGAGGGGACAAGAGGGAGAGCTGTATGAGGAGAAAGAGACAGGGAGGCACAGCTAGGCTCCAGTAAGGAATTGGACTTTATTACAGGGAGTAAAAGTCACGTATCAGCTCTGGTGGTGATGTGGTTAAAGCATAGGTATCCTAACGAAAAGGTCAATAGTTCAAACCCAACAGCCCCTTCAAAGTAGAAAGATGAGGCAGTTTGCTTGTGTATAGATTTAAAGCCTTGGAAACACTATAGGCAGTTTTACTCTGTACTGTAGGGTCACTATGAGTTGGAATTGGCTCAATGACAGTGGGATTTGAAGGTCACATAGCTAGTGAATGGTGGTTGCTTCTAGCTTCCATTGACTTGGCTCCTGACTCATGGTGATCCCATGTACCAGGAAACAAAATGCTGCCTGGACCACTGATTGCCATAATCAGCTGCACAAGGGACAACTGTGATCCACAGGGTTTTCAATGACTGGTTTTCCAAAGTAGATCACCAGACCTTTCTTCCTAATTTGTCTTGGTCTGGAAGCTCTACCAGGTCAGCATTGCGGCAACACACAAGCCTCCATGGACAGGCAGGTGGCGTCTGGGCACAGGACGTGTCAGGCAGGCGGGGTCTCCCACGGACGGGCAGGTGGCACCTGGGCACGGAACATGCCAGGCAGGCGGGGTCTCCCACGGACAGGCAGGTGGCGCCTGGGCACGGGACGTGTCAGGCAGGCGGGGTCTCCCACGGGGAAGGACAGAATTTCAGCACTCACCCACCAGTGCCCCGTACTGAATGGTGGAGCGAGAATTCAAACAATGACTTGTCAGCCTCCAAACACTAATATCTCTCCATTCCCTTAGAATGATGGTACTCATCTCCTAGGCTAATTTTTCTTCTTTGAAACATTTTGTTGTGCTTTAGATGAAAGTTAACACAGAAAACAAAATTCCCATTAAATAATTTGTGCACAGATTGCTTTGTGACATTGATTGCAGTCCCCACGATGTATCACCATTCTCCCTCTTCCACGGTGGGTTCCCCATGTCCATTCATTCGTTTTTCTCGCCCCTTACTGCCTTCTCCTTTATGCTTTTGAGCAGGTATGACACATTTGGTGTCCAAAATTTGATTGTTCTAAGGAGCACTTTTCTCACATTATTTTTTAATAGACCTGTCTACTAATATGTAGCTAAAAGGTGAACTTCAGGAGTGGCTTCAGTTCTGAATTTAGAAGTCCAGGGGCCAGAGTCTCCGCAATTACTCTAGTCTCTGTCACAAATGAGGAAATTGAAGATTTCCATCAACTTCTGTAGTCTGAAATTGACCAAACATGCAATCAAGATGTGTTAATTATTACTGGAGTGTACAATGCAAAAGTTGGAAACAAGGAAGAATCACTGGTAGTTGGCAAATTTGGCCTTGGTGACAGAAATAATGCTGGAGACCACACGATAGAATTTTGCAAGACCAATAACTTATTCATTGCAAACACCTTTTTCAACAACACAAATGTCAGCTAAACACGTGGGCTTTGCCAGATGGAATACACAGGAATCAGACTGACTAAATCTTTGGAAAGAAGCAAAGGAAAAGCTCAATATCTTCAGCCAAGGCCAGGAGCTGACTGTACAAAAGAGAATCACCTGCTCATATGTAAGTTCAACTTGAAGTAGAAAACAGTTAAAACCAGTGCATGAGAGCCAAACTAAGACCTTGAAAATATCCCTCCTGAATTTAGACACCATTAAAATAGATTTTATGCATTGAACACCAGTGAACAAAAATCTGAGTAAATGGGGGATGACATCAAGAACATGATACATGAAGAAAGCAAAATGTCATTAAAAAGATGGGAAAAGACAGGAAGAGAAAAACAAAACCACTGAGAAAATTGTCCAAGATTTGCTGGAGGAGAACTTCCCTGATATGATGAAAGATGAGAATATATCCATTCAGGA